TTTCCCTAAACTGGGCTAATACTGACCAAGAATTAGACTCTGTGGGCCTTCACAGAAATATCTTTGTTCAGCTGGTGGCAGTTACATAGCAGAAGTCACGATAATAAAGAAACTAAGTTGCTTCTTTAAGAAAAAGAACGGAACTCCCATACATCCAGCCTATCATCACTCAGATCCTCTCTCGTGTGCCTGTCTATATCATATTCCCCACCCTTCATCAGGCTTTTATCGTTTCATTTACATTACTAGGCAGGGACTGCATTTCCATATCTCCGTACAGCACCTTGTAAAACAAAACTGAGCCTTGGCCCCGGCTGGGAACTGTAAGCACTACTGAAATACAAGTAATGACCTCAACTTTGGCGCATAGGTCCCTTACCAATACGCCTATACAAGCCCAAGGGGACAACTTAGCTGGGAGAGGGAACGGTTAACCTGGCATAGCCTTTATGCTGCGACTGACAAAAGCAAACTAAGCCACAGCTGTTGCAGGCGTGGCTTATATGCCTGGTAAGAAACATGCTGAGACTCACCAACTCGTCAGAAACCACGAACCACAGCAAGCAGCAGTTTTCTATGCTTGGCTGCATTCAGACCTGCACTTTGGATGCAAAAGCTTCAGTGTGCTGTGGCCAGCCCCCAAAAACATTCCTTATGTTCTCACTGCAACCCCTTCTTCCAACTGAGACGCTAAAGCAAATGCCTTACCCAACATGGACAATAAATCTGACTTCGGGGTACTTGCATTCTTCTCAGACTTTGGTGACGGCTCAGAGAAACGTGAGGAGACTGCCAGACCAAAGTAGGCTCCAAACAGGTGAACATGCATCATGCTGATATTGTCTGGAATCTGTATCAATAGAATAATCAAATTTGTGGTTTATTTCAGGCCACAGGAAGCCTTTGATGCAGTTCCTGATATAGTTGCTCATTTAACCTGCCTATAAGCAATTTATTTTCACAGTCCCTCAGTTTATGCATGGGTTATTTATGCGAGATTAACTTATCTGAGTTCAAATACAGCTCATAAACACACAATTCATACACAGAGAGTTTGGGGTATGTTTACATCGTATGTTAAATGCAGGTCTGACTCTGCTGTCCAGACTGGGCTGGTATACCATTCACACTGGAGATCTTCCAGACTGGGCTGACACAGGGAGGGGGTAAAGGTTAAAGGCAATTAGTGCCTTTAGGTCAAGGCTTTCATTCACGTGTTGGGGATGGTCAGGGCATAGGCAAGGCCAAGAGCGCTACATCCCAATCCATCAGATCAGCTCCCCCTTTAAGGCCAAGAATATAGATATAGCCAATTATACAGATATAGAGTATGCAGGGTTTGGAGTTCCATGTCTTTAAGTATAGTCCCAAAGTCAGACTTCATCTCTTAATGAAAACATAGCCACAATCTAACTGAGATAAAACACACTGATGTTCCTGTCAGCAGCGCACTAACAAACCACCAAAAGGCAATACTCCTAAGTCCCAGTGAAATTTTCCCCCTTGTGCCTGGAAATTGCACTACAGTACCTGCAGGAATGTTTTGGTGATCCATCTGCTCAGATCGAAAACTATTATCTCCACAACTGCCATCAGAATTAATTGCACAGGATTAGCCTTCCCAAGAACAGCTCCAGTGGAGATGACCACAGCAGTTGTACTCACAGCTGCCTTTGCTATTCTGCAACAAAAGAAAGGAAAGAAAAAAACCGTTCTGTATCAGGACCATGCCAGGGCCAATAAAGAAAGAATAACAGATGGTAAAATGTACTTAAAAACCCAAACACTTCTAAAATGTCTGAAAATATAACTGTGCTAATTCGCAAATAAATCCATATAACAAAGCATTATCCTCCTCAAAGAGCAATCAGCAGTTCTAGATTATTCCAATTCTAACACAAACTAATTACCTTTCCAGATGACCTTCGTTTTCCCTTTGCTGAAGGAAAGCTAATAAACCTTCTATCAGCGCGGAGCATTGGACACCAAGTAGACTGATCAGGAGGTTTAATCCAGTGCTGCTAAACCCATATCTTTTCAGAAACGTCAGGAAAAAGCCAAATCCAAAAATCAGCATGCGGTTGACATCTTTAAAAGCTGCATGACAGAAAAGACCAAGACAGCAGTGAATTTATTAATGCAGACTGGATATCTGGTTAAAAAATAAATTTAAAAAAATCACAATTAACTAAGAAGCCTTCAGATAAAAATTCAGGTGTCATTATTACTTAGTACTTGTAAAGAATTCCACAGCTTGCTTTCTAATCCATAAGTAATCAGAAAAAAAATACCCTTTACCCTGAATTTAATTTTACAAAGTGATCAGAATGGATGCCATAGGATGGGGATTGAGGGGTCAAAAGGCACAACAGAAATGAAGTATGTTTAGCAATGAAATGTGGACATTCATTTTTCCTGAAGTGAATTGAAAGACCTTAAGTTGGACTTTTCAGGGAGAGTTAGTGTGAATTAGTGCTGATTCATTCCTTAAGGGCATTAGGGAAGAAATGAGTTACAAAGAGAAACCTGTACAATGTCCTCATCTGGGTAGAAGGAACAGAAAAAGCAGCAGAAAGAGTTTAATATGGAAACCAGCACCATTGCATAAAAGGTAGAGGCTGTCCAAGATATAATAGCTCTTGGATCTGTAGGCCTGGAAGCGTCCCCCAGGACAGGCTAATGGTCATATTCTCATATGGTTGTGCCAGCCTGTACCTACAGCAAAATATCAAACTGCTAGTAAGTAGGTCTCATTTTTCAAGCTATAAAACAGGGAGGGTAACACAAGAATGTCACGAGGATTAATCAGCTCACGACACTGTAAATACGTTACACACTATGGCTGTAGCAAAATCTTCTAATACATTCCTTTGATCAATGCACAAAATACATCTCAAAAATATATGTAAACCCTTAATTCCACTGTATTAGCTTCATTTCTTTACATCAAGCATTCAAATGGAAAATACTGCCACCCTGAATTCTTACTTTGTAGCACAACAACGCCTTTGCGTGCCAAGACCTCACAGGAGTTAGGCACTTAAACTTCGGAGGGCAGGCACTGCTCTGTCTTGTTACGTTAACAGGAGTCAAGATTACCACAAACAGGGCAGAAAACAGACCAGCAATGCAATTTAGTATCACTTAACCTCTTCGTTCACTGTCATTGCTTTGATACAAATAAATACACACCATACATGGCAAGGTAGGGGACTTAAAGGGCAGGAAAAACATTCTACTTCTCACTAACAAACACACAAACCTGCTGAATCCCATCTCTATTGCACTGCAAAATAAAAGCAGGAACTAACCCTTCCTTTCACAGTAAGGCTGCCAATCTTACCTGAGTAGGAGACGCTTGATACGGCCACATCACCTGGGAACAAAAAGTAAAAGAGGACGATAAAAACAGCTTCCAGGACAAGGATTAGCCATGGCACACTGTTTCGGAAGTTGCGGTAATTAGAAGGCATTGTGCACTAGACTACATTAAGCACAAACACATTAATATTTTTTTCTATAAAAATGTTCCAGTAACCTCAAACCAATGAGCAGGAGGTGTGGGGGGGCAGGAATAAAAACCCAGAGATAAAAAGCCCAAGAGGCGTCAGCAAGGAACAGTTCCTTATCTGCGGCATGTCAGGAGCCCAAACTTACCACAACTGACGTGGACTGAGGTCAAAAAGTATTCATGAACACAAACATATCAAGCTGTCAATACTTTAATGCTCCAGGATACCATCCATACACTACTTCAGCTGCTGTGGGGCCTGACCTATCAGCTAAATGGCAAGTAAAGAAAGACATGGACTCAGAAGGGTAGGATGTTGAAGCTTATGCAAAACCGTTATTGACATTGCTCGTATCCATCCTAGACCCAAGTCCCTTCATATAAAGGTCGGGGAAGGTCCTGTTGAGATCATCAGTGTGATTCTCAGCTTGGTCAGGCTATAGCTCTACACCCGTGTCCCACGACAAACCTTCTCTTACATCATGAATCAACCCAACGCTAGAGAATCAAGAATCTCTGGACATAGAATCACAGAATCATTTAGGTTGGAAAAGACCTTTAAGATCATCTAGTCCAACCATTAACCTAACACACGTAAAGGAGATGTAGCATTTCCTATGCTACTTGTAAGATTGGTCTATTGTTTAGTACGGCTACGGAAACAGCTACAGTGAACACTCTGGAAGACCTTGGTAATCCCCAGGCCGGGAAATTGCAGGCAGACAGCACCATTCAGAGTGCTGCAGGCTTTTAATTGAGAGCCAAACCACAGACCTGCATCCTCCCGATTCTTTAATCTGGACCTAGCCTTCACACAGAAGTGTATCAACTTCCATTACCACCTTGTGGCTACAAGGTACCTGTTGCCTTAGGGGTTCTGAGCCTTTTGGTAAGGCACGGGCTTTTTTTATTTGTTGTGGTTGCCGTTTTTTTTAAACCAGGAGCCACTAGAGTGAGCATTTTGGGCACACAGGCAGGGCTATATGGTGGAAGCTATCTACGGTCAGTATATCCCCACGCACAAACATCATAATTTGATAGGTAAGATTATTTGGTTGTTGAGGACAATTTATGAATCCATAATATGAACATTACTATCTTCTCAGTATTCACTGTCCTTTTGGTAAATTGAACGCTTCTCTGTTAAGGTAGTTCTACTTTGAGACCATTTCAAACTGAGCGCTGTGCTTGCATGCTGGGGTTTGCGATAGTAACAATGCATACAAATGGGTAGAAAGCCACCTACTGGTGACAGAAATATGTACCAGACAAACACATGCAAAAAAAACTCCAGTTCACTTATATTTTAGGACATTCCTCCTGCAAAGCCAGGCTATTTGGCACAACAGTATTTTTCAAGCCATCTGTGAAAGGGTCGCATTCGTGGTGATAAATTGCACCCTCCTCACGCGCAGTATCAAATTGCTTTACCAGCTTTTACCCAGGCCTAATAAAACTCAGTTGAGTATCCTCACCAGCATTTCAGAAACTCCTGAACAACATTCAAAGGACTTTCCCAGATGTGCAGAGCGCTGCTCTGACTTCAGAAAGATCGTGATGCAGGAAGATCTATAAAGATCTAGAAAGATACATTCAGCCTTTCCATGGGAGCTCTGTAATCATGTGGGTAATTCAGACAGAGCCAGCATGCCTGGTGAACTTTCTGTAGACAAGAAAAAGGTAACAGCTCAAACAGCAACTTAGAAATTGATTTAGCTAACTGATGCAGTGTCTTTGTGTGGTTTGTAAATGCAATATATCTATTTAGTTTTCATCTGTTTCCTGCAAGACAAACCCTTAGGACTCATACTCAGGATAAGAATGACCCAGAACTCCTTCCACGGTTCTGCCCTGGCCAAATGAACACAATTAGCTTGACACTTGTTACCAAGTCCCTTGTCAGCGTTAACACTCAGGGAAAATACACCAAAGGCTAGGAATTCACCCATGTTTTCCCCTCAGGATGACATGCCACACTGTAAATGCTGATGCTCGGATTTCCAGCTTAAACCCCCTCCCAAGCAGAAAGACCTAAGCTCAGTGATCTCAGGCAGGGCGAAACACAAAATAACTTTCAAATTAGAGATCCCCTGCCAGCAACACGTCCCCATCGACTCAGCCGAGGGGACCAGACGCCTCCCGTACGTTCCTCCGCGCCAGCTCCAAGGCCGTATCGGGACCTACACGGCTCAGGCTCGGCCCAGCGTCACATGACCCTCGCTCAGGGAGGCCCGTTATCCCCCCGAGAGGCCTGGCAGGCCCATGGCACCCAGCCCAGCTCCGGGCGAGGCCGGGG